CCACGCAAAAGTCGTTCTCAGAGTGCCCCTCTACCCCTTTTTTTGTGGCGTTCAACTTTCTTTCTTTTTTTTTTTAAAGAGGACACCAAAATCCATTTCCTGGGCCCCCGACAAAAAAAGGACACCTGCGTTCGAACCCGAAGACTTCCGCTTGGGTTCCCCACATCTTGGGCGTCACAAAGCACAGGCCGCCCAAGAGCAACGCCAAAGGCAGCAAAGGCAGCCCTCAGCGGATCTGCTGTGCGTCGAAACGGGACCAATCGAGATGTTTAATCCCTCAGTGGGGAAAAACCTTTTAGTAAACGTGGTGTCTCTTTTAGGGGACCCGCTAAATTGTGGTTTCACTTGTCTCTTTAAAGCGTTCAAAAAAAAGAAAGAAGACGCACCCATATTTACTGGGCCACACTGTGGATGGACGGGATCTTGCAGTTGGCATCATGGAAGGGATACATCACCTACCAACTGGTGCAGGATTCTGCGCAGTCTGCTCATACTGCAAATTGACATACTGCTTCTTGTGGATTTAGATTGCTGCTTGTGTCAACTGTGTCGGCAATGTGTTTACGGGCTTGCCTTATCCAAGATCAAAGCCTCAACTGAGCATCAACTGCTCTGTTCAGATTGCTCTAATTTGTCAAACGAACACGGGACCATCTCGGAAAAAAAAAAAAACTAATCTTCCTCGATGCCCGGGCGTCTCGTGAGACATGATGGGCAGCCACCACGGCAGTCCGGCACATGGGGCGCAGACACAGCTGCGATTTATAGAGGCGCAGACATACGCAGGGGAAGAATCCCACAGTGGGCAGCACAGTTGACCGCCCACATCCCAAGAACCTCCTCAGGGAGGAGGCAACCAAAACTATGCAAACGGATGACTAAACACGGCAGCAAAGCGTAAGGACGAGAGGAGCGGAAGCTGCACAACCAGTGGAAAACACTGCCAGCCATGAACGCACAGAGAAAGTAGTCCACCCTGTACTGCCAGCAGCCGACCACATCATGCAAGGGAATCAGCAGGGGCCTTGCGAGGCTCAAGGTGACCCGCGCCACAACACACCCAAGACGACCCACCAAGAGAGCAGACAGCAAGCCCAATACCTTCGGGAAGGAGATCTCCCCCACAACCCCGGCAACGAAAAACTCGGCCCTCTGCAATTAGCAGAATGCGATGCGCAACTTCCGAGGAAAGATCTCGCCTACACGCGGGAACAACGCAAGAAAAGAGCACCGCGCGCAAAAGGAAAAGGAGCTGCCACTGCCACAAGGTAGGTCGACAGGAAGCCCAGGCCCAAATCAATGCACACTGAAGCATAAAGCTGAGAGACGCGCAAGGAGGAGTGGCATACACGATCCATTCAAGGTGTCTTTGGGAGCTGGGCTCGTAGTCACCGCAAAGGACGTCACGAAGCAGCAAAAGCATCCACCAGTTGACAGACACGCAAGGAAAGGCCACAATACACAAATGGCAAGCCTCCCAACACGAAGCGCGAGCAATAATACACACCATGGCTGCAGAATAAGCTGGTCCGGCTGAATTGCTGCTGTGTGTTGGCCTCCAGGGTCAGAAAGCTGCACAAATCACGCACCAAAACTTGCTCCAGGCGAAAGCAGCGTCACGGAATTCAGTGCGAAGTGCAGAGTGAAGACGCCAACCAGGCCAACACGTCGCTTTTCCCCAAAAAGCAGAGGCAGACCCGGACTGATCAAGCGGCTGCAAGCTTCAAGGTGCTTCAAGAGCGTCGAGCGAGACCACACCGACGAAGAAGAGGTGCGCCCCACAGGAAGTCCAGTTCGGAGCGTGGATGAAGGGCAAAGCCTCCAAACACGCACAGCGGAAAGATTCCTTGGCCTCATCCATGAGGACAGGGAGCACCACACGTGCCATGACGATGCAATGATGAGTCGCTGTGAGCCGAAACACCTAAAAAAGAATCCTCATCATGGGCGTTCGGTCGCAATCAAAACCCGGTCTTCAAAGCCCTGGGTGTTGTCGAAAGAGCCATTGTCGCCCCATGGAAATGCCCCTGCTTCGATTCGTTTCCGGGCATAGAACATTCGGCAAACCAGTTCCTGAGACCAGGGCGAGCAGGCGCCATGGTCGCAAAGCTGAGGCTCTAAAGCGGGTTCCACCGTGTCTTAGGATCAAAGCGTGCGCTCGTGGCTGGGTCCATTGGTTTGGCCGTCACGACTGTCATGGTTCAGTTGTTTAGCTCAGAGCCAAAAGGGCCAGGCATTGCATGCGATGCATGAGACATGACTAGGGCTGTGGAACGTTTCCCAGACCCATGGCAAATGGCCGTGTCTGTTTCTAAAGGGGCCCCCTTTTGTGGTGCATGGTGTAAAGCATGGGGAAACCACCTCCTGGAGGGTCCCCAAAAAACAACAACACCCCCAAATCGTCATTAACAAAAACATCAACCATCTTGTGCCTGACTCCGGCTGGCTTCGCCCCACCATGTTCACCAAGGACCCTGCTTGAGGACCCATCTGGGACGGTTAAAGGAAGCATGCCAACACCAATCACAAGAGGTCCCCAGCTTTACAGCCATCCTCGAATGTTGCCCCGGGCACAAGCCACGTCTCATCCACTGGCCTTGATGCCGTTGATTTCTTTGGACCCGATCTTCAGCACGTCCGGCACTGCATCCTCACATTTTCTCCCCACACGTCCGCGCCGCAAATGGCCACGCCCCGCTCGCTCTTCGGGTCCGAGACACATCAAAACTCCTACGGGTGGCAGGTCGCACCATGTCTGCGCCCCGTCTATGGGTAATGTTATGGTTCCCAAAATGGAACTTGCAGTGGTCGTCCACATCCCTGGGGGCTTGACAAGGCCTAAGCCCAAGTGCCGTGGGCGCGATGCCGTGCAAAATGCGTTCGGGTAAAATACGGTGCATTAAAGTCGGTGGAGTGGTGAACCAGTTTCCGACCTCCACCGGCCAGAAAATCTGACGTTGACCGCGCGCAACACAACGCTTGGCCCCCAGAAATCCAGAGCAAAACGCGGGCCGTTTGGCCCTCCCTGTCCCAAAGCCGTTGCCTCAAGGCTCGAGAAAGGCGTCGAAGCTTTCTCCGGCAAGTCCTGCGATGGGAAGATCGTCGGCGGAAGCGTGAGGCCCCACCGCTTGATTGCCATCTTTGCCATTGTTTGATGGGGTCTGCACGGCACAAAAGACATGTTTGGCTTTTGCTGGTGCTGGAACTTCGAACCTTCCCGCATTGCGAGACACGTGAATTCGATCACAGGGCGAGCATGGGCGAGGCTCATAGGCATGCCAGGACAGTAAAACGTGTGCGCCTCTCAAAACAAGAACCAAGAGGGACCCAGGGACCCCCAAAACGTGTGCGCCTCTATGTCAAAACCAGAATAAAGAGGGGCCCAGGGACCCAAAATGAACTTCGGCTGTCCTTTCGTTCCCTTGAAGCCAAGCTTGGACAGGGCAGCCATGGCAGCCTCAACAGAAATCACACAGACAGCATCCTCTCACAGCATCCTCTCTTTCAAGGGTTTGCCGGACCGAAAGGCCAGGCAAGGGACCTGATCGCTCCAAGCCCGGACCCTCAGAAAGATGTCCCTAGGGTCACCAAAAAGATGGATGGCCGCTCGAAGTTTCATCAACTCGAGAAACCTGGGCATTGGGATCTCTTCCACCGGCCCGGCCCCTTTTTCACATGGGGGTTTCTGCCGTTTGGGGGTCCTGGTGTGGAGTGATTTCCCTTTGAAGGGACCGGGCCCCGTGGAAAACCTGCCGTTTGGGGGTGGATCATTTTCCCTAAGCCGGGTCCCGAAGGTGAGCTTCCAGGTCAGCCGGGTTTCTTCGAATTGGTGGCCGGAGGAAGAAACCCAAAGGCGGAGACCAAACCACAACTCCTCTGTCCCGAACGTGGTTCCATGTGGCCATGGGTCAACACCCAAATCGTAGCCCAGTAGACATCCGATTCAATCCCCACTCAAGCCTAAAATGGGTGGCGCAGCACCACTGTGCACCTATCCCAAACTGGGATCCCCAAACGGTTTTGAACCATGGCCATGATACCTCCGCTCCTGGGACGCGATCACCAGGGACAAGTCGCTCTTGCCCACCTGGCTGCCTTGGACGTGAGTCATCGAGCAATCTCAGCGATATCAGCGGCGGTGTTTCTCACGATGCCCAGTGGATTTCCGGGGGAAAACGGGCGCCTGTTTTTTTTGGGGTGGGGTGGGGGGGGGGGGAAGGGCATCCGACTTTTTTGGGGGGGGCAAACACGGGCATCCGATTTGTTCGGGTTGGTTGAGGTTCAAGGAATCGGAACCCAGAACCCCCCCAAAAAAAGAAAGAAGGGCGGAGCCCGCTGGGCAACTGGGATTTGCCAAGCAACTCCGAGAACGCCCACACTGGGCGCGAGGGAAACTCTGTGCAGGAGGGAAGCCCCAGTAAAAAGGACTTCATCCGGGTGACCCGTTGCATTTGTTCGAACAAATGGATTCCGAGATCGTAGGTAACGCTTAGCAACCCGAATTTGTTGAGCTCGGACAGATGAATCGTTCCCTCCAGGCAAGAGGAAATGGTCGTCCACCTCCAGTAAGCATCCATGCGGGCAAATCACAAAGGTTGGTGTCCTTCGTTTAACGCCCAAAAGGGGGGTTCAACATGTTCAATCCCACCTTGGTGGGTTTCACCAAACAGGTTGGTTTGAAAGGGCGTTCACCATCGAACACTTGGTGGGCGGAAAGGTGTACATCTGGAAAGAAGGAGTCGCGCAGGAACCTTCCTGGCGCCCTTGGCTTTGCTGCTCCAACTCGCTGAAACTTGCGCAACCTCACGGCCTAAACACACCATCCGGTGATTTCAATCGCGCATGGAAACCAGTCCAGCTTGGCCAATCATCTAGGGTTAAGTGTGCTTAAACGTTCGAGCTCTTGCCTGTCGGGAATCAACAGGAGTTTGCTCAAACAGTAGTTTGAAACGCGGGGTTGGCCCAAGATGCAATCCTGACTGCCGGATGCGCATGTTTTTCTCGCGTTATGTCAGTCGCAAGGAAAGTGAACATCGGATTTGCATTTGCCTTGAGCCCCCTTTGGCACGGCTGTGCAGCATCGTGCAAGCATGATTTGGGCACTGGGGCCGGAACTGGAAACATGTGCAGATCGCACGATCACTGAGTACCGAAAGGCCTCGATAATCAAGATAATTTACGGCCATTTCGGCTGAACAGGTTCCTCACAACCGCTAAGCATATATACCATATCCAGGTATCGGCATCAAACAGTCGCAGGAGATGCAAGCCAACGCCTCGGTTCAAGCACCCCAATGGCCCAACATGACATACTGTGCTTGCCAAACCAAGAAAACCCCTGACCAACAAGTGTTGATTCAAGCTTCCCACTAGACAAGGGGTATGGGAAGATCCCCCAGTTTGCTGGCCTCATTATTTTATCATGATCAAATTTCACCCCCTAAGTGATGGGTTAAAGGGAAACACCCCCATTTTCTGACTTTGATACCCCCTAGAAACGGTCAAAATAATGACCCCAGGTTTGAGACCACACATTGCACGAGAATACGGATAAGTGTTTCCACCTGCTGGACTTCCACGTGTATTACAGCCATGTCCTGTTTTCGCTGACATCTCCCTTGCCTCAAGACTGAATAGGCATGGCCAGTACAACGACCACATGGGCCAAAGTCGCGGTGCAAACGTGCCAGCGAACGTACCCCCCATCTGTCACTTGGAGCTCCATGCAAGATGCACCGGTGCTCAGATGCCCAGTGGCCATGGGAAAAAAAGGGCATCCTTTTTGGTTGATTCACTTTAAAGGGGAACCCTTCCCACAAAAAGTTGGACATCCAACGCGCCCCACTGTAATCCAAGAGGCGAGACGAACGAATTCCCCAAGAATTCGAGCGTCGCAGCCCTAGCTTCCCGAATCATCCCTCTCGACGGTCCTGGCCACAGGCTGATACAGGGCTGTCATCTACTTTTTTGAGGCTAACATGTCTAGGCTGGAATTAGGACCCTGGCTACTGGAAAACAAAGGGACCCCCAAAAAGCAAAAAACAAAAAAGGGGAGCGCATTCTGCGGAAGATTTATGAGGCGCCGATTTACAGGGAGCGCAATATCCGCATTTGTTTTTGGGAAGGTTCCCCTGCTTTGACACATACCCACATGAAGCAAAGGAATTCCTGATCCTCGAGAGGTTCATATTCCCCTCTAAAAATCATGATTACAAATTGGCCCAGGCGATCAAAAGCGAATCAAGGGGAAACATGAGAACCCTGTCTAGAGGTTGGTTTGGCTGGCTCCATGTTGACATGCATTCGAGTAAACCTGTGTCTGGTGTAAAAACCACTCAGCGCGTGGCATCAGAAGCCCAGTGGCCCGGGAGAAAACAAGAGAAAAGCGAGCGGGTCACCTTGTTTGTTACGGCTTAAAAGGGAAACCCATCCCCCTCCCAAAAAAAACAACAACAGACTAAACAGAGGCGCCAGTGGGCCACTGCCATGTTCGAAGATCCCCTCCCAAAGGAAAAACAGGGAGAACGCGAGAGGCGCCAGTGGGCCATGGTTTCAGACGCCTCTGTACAGTACTCGGAGCTCCGGAACCTGAGCCCTGAAGAATTTGGGGCCTTTTTTTTGCTCGGTTCAGCGCGGCGCACGATACTGGAAAAGCTGATCTGTATGGCATGGCACTAACTTGCAATAGCTCGTTTTCACCATACCATGGCCAACGCCGAAGTCCACGCTACCCCACACGGCGTGTGTTTGCTGCTCCGGTCCTGATCGAGTCTCATGAGGATTGAATTTGACCTCCCCATCTCGAAGCGAAAGATTCTTCATCGCTCCTCATGTCCTTGCGGCGCTTGCGCGAGAAAAACTCAAGGACTGAGTGCCCCTAGCCATCAAAAGCCGCTAGGTTGATTAGTGCCTGCAAACGTGGGCCAGGGCAGCGACAATGTTTGCAGCCTTTCCAAAGACACGAGGACAAACAAACAGTATTCATCTTGGGTGTAGATACCCCAGCAACAAGTTTGAGCACTCTTGCCCCGCCTCGCTGTCCGAAGAGATCGTTGAGAGGGACCGGCTGTGTCGCAGCGTCATCAGCGGCAGGGCCGTCTTGGCGCCGTGATGGATTTGCGCAGTGCCGAGGGCTGGAGCGGTGGAATAGACCTGAATGCGAGCCCGGGTCAACTGGAACAGTTATTGACTCAGATGCCCCGAGGCCATGCGGAAAAAAAAAGAAGAAAAGGTGGCATCCTTTTTGGGTTGGTTGAATTCTGGGGACACCCTTCTCCAAAAAAGAAAGGGCCAAAGGGGCACAACTGGGCAACTGGGTTGAAGTTACGATGCCCTAAGCTGAAAGGGAGATCACCCCAGCAGCAACTTTGCGGCCAAATGCCAGCGCAGTTTAGTTGGCGCCAGTTTTCAAGATGACTTTGCTTGGTTGCTGTTGACCCCTCTGCAACAAGTCTAGCTTTTTGTGGGTCCAATTCCGAAAATCCGAACTGGCTCCCAAAAAGATAAAGTCCCGAACTTGTTTCCCAAAATGTTCAAAGTCCAAAGATCCAATCAAATCGCCGCAAAGCACCCATCCCAGTCTTGGTCTATCGCTGGCCCCACAAAATGGCTTCGTTTGTTTTCTACTTGTGGCTTCCCTTTCAACCCACCAAAATAGAGGGGGGCCGCGTTTTTTTGGTTTCCCTTGAAAACCCCCCAAAATTCAGGTGAGTCATAATCAAATCCTGGTACCACTGGTGAACCCAGAACCGCGTAAGGAGTTGAATTGGCGGATATCCGCAGCAACGTATGGCTGGGCTTGTCCCTACCCCCCGATTTGCCGGGTTTTGATTGAGGCTCAGGTGGGTGCCCCCAAGAACAGACTGTATTTGCTTGTCTTTTTTAGGGGACCCACAAAATGGCTTCCCTTGAGCCCCACCATAAAATAGGGGGGCGCCGCCGTTTCTTTGCTTTTGGCTTCCCGTGAAAACACCCAAAAACAAATCCGGCGGGTGCTCGCTCAACGTCCGAGGCGCCGAGGCAGTGAAGGCCAAGCCAATGGCCCCGGTGGCGAGCGTGGGCTTCGGCAGCTCTTTGAGTTTCATCAGCGCATGGCCCACCTCGTCCCCGGTGCGGACCGAGCCCATCCGAAGCAAGTCCCGGCGCATGACTGCTGTGTAACCCATCAAGATGCCTGGAGTCATGGCCAAACCAAAGAATCCCAGTGCTTCCAGGCGTTTCGGAATGATAGCAGGCAACCAGGAGAAACCATCATGTGACACATAGAGGGAGACAACGACCTTGAAACGCGAAGATCCAAACCGGCCAAAGCCAAACCAAAGAATCTTGGGTGCTGTAGATCCCCAGCAAAAGTGCTTTAACTTGCAGTTTATAAGGAAATATGAGGGGTATCCCAAAAGTCAAAGTCTAAAGATCCAGCCCAACAGCAGCAGATGACTCCCAGTGCTTCCAGGTGTTTTGCCACTATAGTAGCTAACTAGGGGAAACCATCGCGTAACTCACACAGGTATGGAATCCACTATAGTGACAACTGGAAGTATTGGGAATTACAAGGACAACGAAACAAGGGCAACACCAAGAAAAACAAAATGAAGAAACCAAACATGAATCAAACCACACAAGTGCAACAAAGGAGCAGCAAAACAAAAAGAAGCCAAACAATAACAAATAAATTGGACAACCAGACAAGAAAAAACAACAAACAAGGACAACCAAGGGAAGGAACCAAAGACAACACACAGTGACTGTACTTTGAACCATCCCTAGCTGCGTAATGCATCAGTTTTGCAAAGAGAAGACAACAACTTTTCGCAAACATGACCACCTATCCATTTTGCATAAGTCCTCTGGAACAAACCAAACATATTCCCAGTAATTATAGATTCCTTCTAAAACTATATATATTCTGAAGCTAGAGTCCCTGGTTGAATCGGCTCTGAACACTACCCTTCACACCAAACGCAGCTTCGGCGCTGCGCCAAGCGCGGTGCCGAAGCCGACCATGAGCAGATCTTTGAACATGTTCTCAGAGCTTTCGCTTCTGAGACCGGCGGCCTCCTAAGCCGGCCCGCTTCCAAAGCCTAACTCCGGGAAGCGGGCCGTCGGGTCAGCGCTCAGAATCCTTCCATTTGCTAAGGCCCCCCCGGAAAAATAAAAACAAATTTCCAATAGTGAGAGATTCCAACTTCAAAACCAAGAGGACAAATGGGTCATTCAATTAAGCCAATCATTATTAACTCATATGAATGCAAAACATCTGAGAAAAACGTGTATATGTTTTCTCAAAATAGTTGCTTATAATTCAACTTATGATTGTTTATCTATATAAAGGCGAAAATAAACATATTCTCAAGCAAATGAAAGTTTTGCCCTTGGAAACCTGTCAGTTGGTTTACCTGGCCAATTCGAAGGATTGACCATGGCCGATCTGATTGGGTCGTGGTCGAACTCCGATGGTGGACATGGTTACCGGATTGGAAACCCGTATAAAGATTTATGACCGTCCCCAGCATATATAACCCCAAGCAAGAATGACTGTTTGACCATGGTACATGTGGGCAGGCGTCAAAGTGGGTCGGCGGTGGCTTTGTTTTGGGGAATGGAAAGCAGACCGCATACCTACATGCGCAAAAGCCGAGCGCACAATCCACCCCGTTGGGAGCAGCTGCTGAAATCCTTTTGGCCCGCTTTAGCAAGAGAACCTAAGTTCATGTGCTCAAAGCAGGGCTGTTCATGTCGGCGGATAGAGCACCCCCACAACTTGTTGGTATGGTTCCTTCTAATTTCCCTTCAACGCCTACCATAAGGGGGGAAGGGTAAGCATTCACAACTCCAAATGGCCCAATTGACTCCAGAGACCACACATGCGCCGCGCAAGAAACACGGCCGCGTCCTGCATGGTCTTTCGGACTTTTGCCGCTTGCAAGTCGTCCTGGTGCTCCCTTCCAACATGGTTCTAAGATGGCTTCGACCCCAAAACCACTACCCTCGGGCGTGTACT